TACTTTCCCCGACCGGTTATTTTGCTAACAGGTCAGGAGATGATTTCCAACCTGCTGAAGATGCAACAAGCCGTCGATGTGGACGACCAGTTGGCCTCCGAGGCTGCGACCACCGCGATCGTGAAACAGGTCTCCGTGGATACCGCGGACAGTCGTCCGAGCTGGATGCGACAACTGGAGGTCAGCGCACACACCTGGAAGGCCCTGCTGCCCAAACCCTTGCGTCTGCTGGACCGCACCGCAGAGAACATTACGGACCCACTGTTCCGTTGTTTCGAGCGCGAAATAAATTCCGGTGCTGTACTGCTGACTGTGGTTCGCGAGGACCTGGAGAATGTTAAAAAGGTTTGTTTACGTGTCATGTGCATGCCATGAATCTTTTGTTACTGTCCATGCCTCTTCACTGTGGCAGGGTAATTTACGGCTTCGGTACACTCATTTCAGAAGTTGGTTGGCTTTGCGTTCATCTGCGCTCTCCCGTGGACACTTTTATCAGGCGTCGGAAACGCAAAGATAGTTTAAGCCATGTATATGGGCTCCGCTCTTGTACATGTGTAGCTAGAGGATTACTTATAATCAGAAGAAGCAAGAACGTTTACCGGGAGAGATTTATTAGAGATCTGACATTTCAGGGGGTTGTGTCACCGCCCATCCTCAGGGATTGAACATTCCGGCTCACTCTGATCATTTTCTTGTGCGTAACCTTCTAATACCGGTCGAGCTGCTACTTGTGGCTCGCACCTCACCGTTACTTATGCTTGCGCAGCCGTCCTCTCCGTCAACTGCTCGTGGTGCTGCGTCTGCCGGCGAGTCGTCATTGTTTGCTTCATCCCGCGCGTGTTTACCGTCTGTTGTGTTGCTTCGGGCCGCACCTTAACCGTGGTTTGTATCACGCCCGTACTTATTGCTCGTAGGGACAGTTGGCGGTACCCATTGTTCCACGCTTTGACTGTCCCCTGATAAGAAGGTTCGTAAAACAATATAGAGCGTAGGCAAATTGATGTGGCGATTTACTGATTAGTGGGTCGACATCCAGGCATCTTTAACCTGCCTTGATGTGTCATCGTTACCTCAGCCCAAAATTTGGTTGACCGTAAATTTGAAGACTTGCCCCCTCTCTCCATTAGTTGCTACCTCCGGTGAGCGCTCTCGCTTCTTCTGACTTACAATCTGGGAATCGCTTTTTTACTACTGTTACTATTACTTGTAAAGGTAATTATTGCCGGAGGTTCAGGTCGCAGTGGTTTTTTAATGTGGCCTTTGCGTGAGGCCCAGGCCGCTTCTATGGAAGTTAAGTACGTATTTTGAGGAGAATCGAGCCGTATGTCGTATGTGTAGACGGACTGTTTTATTGTCAGCCAATGCGCCCGTTTCCATCTCCGGTCAAGGTCTTGCTATCGACGACAGGTTAGGCGGGGTGAGAGTACGGTAGATGCAGTGCAAGTCGTCGTCCCCGCGCCCAGTGTGGTGTAGTAAACACTGTGCACCACATCGAGGGTCGAACTCTCACAAGTGTTGCGGATTTTTGTCAATAACCAATCCAAAAAACCGACACATTGTTGCCCTCTGCGAGGCTCGGGCGGCCGACCGCTCGAATTCCGTTTTTTTCTGTGCTGCGTGTGTGTGTTAACGTTAGCTTTTGTATAGTTTTTTTTCGTACGAACCAATCCCAGTACCACACACGTTTATTTGGCTACACAGCAGGGAATGTGTAGCTGATGACGTCAGTCGTACATGATCCACTTGAACACGTCGCCACTCGGGTAACGGCACCCGAACCGGGGTCCCCACGGTCATTTGACAGTCTCGCTCTCTTTCAGGCAGGACTTTACGCCGTCAGTCCACGTTTCGTCCTCGCCAGTGGCCACTGCCGTCCGAAGCAGCTGTTCTGGGTTCTGTGTATAATACAGGTCCTATTTCTCATGCTTTCGCCGTTCTCCCGCGTTCTAAATACATGCTCTCTCGTTCGCAGCTGACGCAGCACTAGTCCGGATTCGATAGCTCTTAGCGACCCTACTCATTTTACGAGCCAACCTTCATCTGAAATGACAGCTCATATTTACAGTGGCCTATCATCTCAAGTGTTTCTTAGTGGATCTTTCGACTATCGATTTGCATTTGCAGTAATTACTGAATTTTCCTC